GAGTTAACTGATCTACAATGTTCCAGCATTAACGTCGACAAATGTCCGCTCTGCGAAAAACAACTAGCCACCATTTTTTGCCGACGTTGCGAGGTCTTTGCAGTTTTGTCGGTAACTGTCTTTCTGAGTAGACCCATACCGATGTCTTGCCTTTCATTTTCCGGATCATATTGATAGATCCATGTCTCGTCACTAGTAACGAGTTCTGAAACACGCCTAGATGCCCCGTTTTCAAAACGTAGACGCATTTCATGGCACCAATCCACACGAGTTTGTTTTTCGCTTTCGGAGAACAAAAGAGGGACCCATCGACAAAAAAGCTTCCTCACTCCAAGATGTTGATATGGGATGGTATGAATGCTCCCCGAACTAATGCCTACAATCTTTTCGATGTCCGTATATGTGACTATTGGGTCTTCTCGCACCAACATTTCAGTAGTCCATACATTTTCTGCCGTTACTGCTGTTTGCAGGCCACCAGTTCTTCGGTCATCTTTAAGATTAATTTTACCCCTTTTGAATTCAGCAATCCACCTAAGAATTGTTGCGCGTGATGGAACTGAGTCCCCTAATGTTGATGAACAATTAAGTTTAGAACGATGTAATCGTTGTAAACTTAATAGTTCGGTTAAACCAAATTTAAAATCATAATATATCATAGCGCGCAAATGTTCACGGTTAAGATACATCGTTTTAAATGAAAATCGCGGGAAGCGTTGCAGAAAAATTAATAGAACTTTGTTTTTTTTTTTATATTGAGCAATTGGCTTATGGAGTTTTTTAGTTGGTTAGCAATTGGCTATTTTTAAATTTCTATTTTTATTTTATTTATTTATTTATTACAAAGTATAGTTATTTAATAACATCCGACAGTACAAATAAATTTGCAAAAGTTTTTCCATGTACCGCCAATTCGTAACTTTGATCATGTTTAATCGGTTCGCTTTGCGACAACTTATTTAATGACTTATATAAATGGTGTGACAAAATAGCAAGATGTTTTTTTTATCTAGGTGTGTATCAAAGCAAAATATGGTTAGTATTAAATGAAAATTAGTAAATTAGTAAATATATATCACCATCATTATCATTACAGCCCTTCACAAGTCCACTGCTGAACATAGGCCTCCCCCAAAGAATGCCACAAAGCACGGTCCCGAGCCACCTGCATCCATCGACTTCCTGCATGTCTTACCAGGTCGTCACTCCATCTCGTGGGGGGACGCCCCACACTTCGCCTACCGGCACGAGGCCGCCACTCGAGAACCCTTCTTCCCCATCGGTTGTCGGTTCTTCGAGCCATATGGCCAGCCCATTGCCACCTTGCATACCCCCTTATAAATGACAGTAACAAAGAAACGGCCCCCAGTCCCCGGCGGCCCCGCTATTCCTGGCTACGGTGGCGACCATGGTAACGGCGGGGCAGGGGGTGCTAAGAATCTCCGGTGGAGGTTCGGTTGCCACCTTAGACGACTAGACCTGGCAACGTACAACGCACGCACCCTGAGGACTGACGAGAAGATCGTGGAGCTGGAAGAAGAGATGGACAAGTTGCGCTGGCATATTATAGGATTATCCGAAGTCCGAAGAGAGGGGGAGGACACGGTAATCCTCGAATCCGGCAACTTGCTCTGTCACCGGGAGGGCGACCATCTGTCCCAAGGAGGTGTCGAATTTATCGTCCACAAGTCTCTCGTTAACAACGTTGTAAAGATCGGGAGTGTGTCGACGAGGGTTGCGTACCTTATACTCAGAATCACCAAACGGTATTCGCTGAAGGTCATACAGGTTTACGCACCAACCTCGGCACACCCCGATGAGGAGGTGGAGGAAATGTATGAGGATATCTCTAGAGCCATGCATTCCTCCAAAACCTAATATACGGTGTTAATGGGAGACTTTAATGCAAAACTAGGCACAAGAGAGAACGGTGAGCTGAAAGTAGGGAAATTTGGAATAGGGCAACGGAACCCAAGGGGCCAGCAGCTGGCCGACTTCATGGAGAAAGAGGGACTCTTTATGATGAACTCTTTCTTCCAGAAGCGGCCCCACAGGAAGTGGACCTGGTCGAGCACCGACGGTTCGACAAAAAATGAGATTGACTTCATTATGACGACCAGACGACAACTGTTCAGTGATGTCTCCGTGATCGCGAGGGTGAAAACTGGTAGCGATCACCGAATAATTAGAGGCACACTGAACCTAAACGTTAAGTTGGAGAGGTCATCTTTTGAGGTAACTCTGTAGATAATGATATGATATTTAGAGCCCAAAATAGATGTGTAAGGGCCATTGTGAAGTTAAAACAGACGGATAGTTGTAAACCATTTTTATTAGTCCGAAACTGTTAACTCTTCCATGCCTTTATATATATGAGGTAGCCTTCTTTGTTATTACGCATATTTCTTTATTTGAGTGCCTACACAGTAAACGTAATAATCATAAAGTATGTTTTCCATCAAACAAAACAGCGCCATTTACCAACAGTATATTTTGTATGGCCCCTCGAATTTATAACCATTTACGATTACGATTATTTTTGATTATATAACTCCAATTATAACTGGAGCATGTTTAAGTAATTTAATATAAAAGTAATAAAATGTGATAAACTATGTAAACCCCATAACAGAATGAACCTATATTCGCAATAAACTATTTGAATTTGAATCCGTTTTATTGTCTACCTATATTATTAACTGTAATCTACTTTGTCATTGCTTCTTTTCTAGCTTTCGCCCGCAACTTTGTTCGCCTGGTATGGACCAACATTGAAAATTATCCCATCGGGATTTTTTTATCGGGATGAAAGTATCACATTATGTCCTACCCAGGTCGAACTCCTAGGTCTCCTAGGTTTAAAGTGTAAGAAACAAACAAAATTTCACATTTATAATATTGCTTGGAATTACGATAAAATGTTATCTCCTGAGTGGTTCCAATCAGTTTATATCTATATAAGCTGAATGGCACCTAATACTACGTAATAAGCAGCTTTACTTTATTATGCCCTGCAGTAGGTGATAAGGAGCTAGTGATCAAGTAATTTTGCACCTCTAAAGTATTTAGTTTTATTTGAATAAGACCCCAATTGAAATTTTGTCCCGGGGCCTTTGGTTACACGTCTAAGACACTGCTGCTCCCTAAAAATACATATTATATAGCTTTTATTTATTAATTACAGCCTTTCATAAGTCTACTGCTAAACATAGTTCTTTTCCATAGATTGCCTCATAGAGAATACTTGTCAAAGGTCCCTCTCTAAGCAAGGGCTTGGCAACCGCGATTTTTTATTACTTTGAGTTGTTGTCAGGAAGATACTGCTGCTTATATCCTGTTTTATTTCCCTCTATCGCGTTTTACGATACCCAAGGGATGGTAGATGGATGGTGATGGTCTTAGAGCTTCTAAGTAATAATATACACCTTTGTTAGGATGTAGTGGATTATGTTAAATCGCCGCTACACGGCATTATCAATCCTGCCTTCACTTCATGATTTCGAAATATTTTCATCCAAGCCTTTTCGATGGTTTTATTTTCCGCTAAGCAAGTGCATATAAAATTGTGATAACAAACGGGATCCAACTGGCTTGTATACCGTGTAACTGTCGAGTATTAGTATTCAAACATGACTAACAATTCGTTTTTAAAGTTTGCGACACGAATATTTGCGGTGTAATATAATCATCATCACTTGTTTTAGAAAGCAATTTACTTGATCGCTTGAATTATATTAAGTCCAATCCTATTTTCTTTTTATTTTTAGACCTATAAAAAAGAAAAAAAAGCAATGAACGAGTATATCAATGTCGATTGTTGTTAATATCAGTAACGAAATCACCATAGATTAAAGACGTCATATCTTGTGAAATAAGATCACACATAATAACACTACAATAGGGATCTCATTTTTTTAGGAAATCAGAAGATACAAGTGTACTTACTTACATATTTGGTATAGTCTAAAGCAATGATGCACAGACTTATGAAGACTAGGGGCCACTCGGGCAAATTATGAACTGATGGCGGGCCGCCAGAAGTATAGGTAATTAAAGACAATAAAGAATTGATAATAATGTATTAAAATTGAAAAAGAATTTATTAATTTGAAGCGTGGCACTGCATAGTGCTTACAATCTTTTTTATATTTGGCTCAAATTTACTTGTAGCAACACGTAAAACTGCTTACAAACTTTCATTTGCAAGGCGGTTTCGATTTTTTGTTTTATTATTATTTAGTATTGAAAAGGTTTGTTCACATATATAGGTAGAACCAAATAAGCTGGCACATTTCAGAGCGTTTATGCGCAACTCTTTGTACGTATTTTTATCAATGCAGCGGTAAAAGTTCAGCAAGTCTCCTTCGTTGAATTTGTTGCGTAAATCTTGGTCGTTTTGAATGTCGATAATTTCTAACTGCATTGACTCTGGCGCATTTTCAACTGAAATCGTGAAAGGATTACTGAATATGTCCAACAGAGGTTTCATTTTTTAAACTCCGAAAATCTGTCTTGAAAAGATTGAATCAAAATATCTAGCTTTTCTACATAACTGAAATTAATCGCAGTTTTGTTGAATTTTTCAGCCATTTTCTTATAATTCGGAAAATGATTGTAATTTCCAGAATTTAATTGCGATCTGAAAAGTGTCAGCTTGCATTGAAAGGATGATACATGAGCGTAGAGCTGGGATATCAGTTGATTTTTGCCTTGAAGCCGTGTGTTCAAGACATTCAAATGATTTTAATATCAACTAAAAAGCCAAATCACACAACCAATCAGGATTTTTAAGTTGCGGGACATCCCTTTGCTTTTCCGCCAGAAATATTCCAATTTCTTCTATTAAATTTAGAAATCGTTCCAGTGTCAATCCACGACTTAGCCACCTTACTTCTGTATAATACAGTAAATCTCCATATTCGCTTTCAATGTCATCAGGGAATTGTTTGAATTGCCTGTGATTGAGTCCTCGTGACTTTGATTTCATGACATTTTGAAATTCAATTTTTTTTAGAACAGAGGGCTTCTTCTTCTATAATGCAGTGAAACTGCATGAGATCTTCAGCGTTTATGTTTTTTTCTTGCAGATGCTTTTTCAGCAAAGTAACTAGCCCAGAATTGACACCAATCATCGAAGGAGCACCGTCAGTCGCAACTCCCGATAATTTTGATAAGTCCAAATCAGTTTTTGAACACTTATCCAAAAGTACATTGAGTATATCAACTTCTCTGTTTTGATCTTTCAATGAACACATTCCTAATAACTCTTCTAAGACTTCAAAATCTTGAGTAACACCTCGTATGAATATCAGAAGTTGAGCTGTGGAACTAATATCAGTGGATTCGTCGAGTACTAATGAAAAAAATTCAATGATCTTAGTTTTTTTCATTTAATTGTTCCATAATATTACCTGACAAAGACATAATTCGTCTTTGGATAGTCATACGATTCAGTTGAATTTTCTCAAACTTTTTTGCTGCTTCTGGACACGTTTTCTTAGCGGCAATTTCTATGAATTCTTTTACAAAATCCCCATCATTGAAGGGGCGACTTCGCTTTGCTATCATTCGAGAAATTTCATAACTAACTTCTGTAGCTGTTTCTGAATCTTGAATGGGTTTTGTAAACATAGCTTGCTGCCCAATAAGCTCCCGTTTTAAAGACAACATTTTTTGCTTTCTTAATTCGCCTGTAAACTTGGTAAAAGTAGGATGCTGCGTTTCATAGTGCCTTTTTACATTATATTCCTTTGCAATCACAACAGAATTCTTACAAATTAAACAAACGACTTTGTTATGCGACCATACAAAAAAGTATTTCTCAGTCCAAATTTCTTGAAACTGCCGATTTTCATCTTTAACCTTACGTTTTTTACTAGGTCCTGGCTTGTCCATGTTGCGTTCTAATCCTGGCTAGGATTGGCACAGCACCTAAAAACAATTACAGTACCTACTTAGATTACCCATCCTTTTTTAAATTACCAAAAATAATTGATTAAATAGGTAGGGAAACACTTATTAATAACAGAGTTTTACTTACGATTTCACAACACAATTATACACGGCACTTGACGGGAAATCTACGTTGAATGTGGATCACAAAATATATGACACCGGCTAGTCGAGTTAAAATCTACATTAGAACTATTGACACTTCACTCAAATTAAAACCGAACTGTCGGTCGCTGCTGTTAGCGTGGCTTTTATACCGCGCGTATAGAGTCGAAAACCGTCTGGAGAAATCACGAAACCGACTCTGGAAGCTTCTTGTATCTATCTACGCGAGCAATCGAGAATTCGGGACTGTTGCTATCTCGCTTGCTCTAACAATACAACCCGTGGATAAGCCGCCACCGCGCTGTTGTCGTCGCCGCGCCGCCGGCCACGGCGGTTCCTCAAGAAAACGAATTTAACCGAGATCAGCACGAATATTACCGACCGCTGTTACCGACGCATGCACGGCGCACCGATAAGCGCACTTAAGAGCGCGCGCGCGCGCGCGAGATTCAAACTACTTTTCATTACATCTTTAGACTCTAAAGAGACCAAAGATGACCACTTGTCATTAAATCTCTACGCATAAATTCACGCAACATCTTTCAATAGTGTTTTTCTTTTTGCCTTATTTGCAAATAAAAATAGACAAAGCAAGACAAGTACATTAACTCAATTTATGTAGAATTGTAGGTTCTTTCTATACAAACGTATGTATGTAATTACTCTAATGGCGGACCAATAAATCGATGCGTCTTGTTGGCAATGGAGCGGTAATAGTGTGAAGTTGCTGAGTATGATTCAGTTGTTGCCAATAATACGGCATGCGAGTGAAGTTGCAGACTCTAGGGAAGAAAGAAATAAATTAAGGAAAAACACTTCCGCTTCAACTATCGAACGCGTTGGTAGCCTCAAGTCCTACTAAAGCCATAATTATTGTAGAGTACTACTATTAGTAGTAGTATAGAATACTGACTATAAATTGTATTATAGTCAATTAAATACTTTTACGCGGTGCTAGTGTTTAATTATCCTCGACCTAAGTAAAATAAAAGCTTACAGGCTTTTGATTTGAACGACGGATATATTCATAACTAGTTAAATGTTGCAAAATAATTTAAGTGAAGATTTGACTGCAGAAGAATTTATCACGGTATTGTTGAAAATTGCAAAAACCTTTTATTTCGATTTTAAGACCCCTGAACATAAAAATATAAGGACAGAGTTCAACAATATATTGGTAAATCCTATTGGGCATACCTTAAGCGCATTTTTTAATAGTAGTTTAAATACATTTTTACGGCACTATTGGTTTCAACACCCGCGAAAACCATGAGAATGAAACCCATGATGAAAAAATTGATATCTATTGCAGCCGCCATCTTGGATTTACATTTCGACAACCCCATCGGCTTCAACTCTCACAAAAAACCATGAAAATGACACCCATGATAAAAAATTAATACATATTGCAGCCGCCATCTTGGATTTACATTTCGACATCACTATCGGCTTCAACACACACAAGAACCATGAAAATGACACCCATGATGAAAAAATTGGTACCTACTTCAGCCGCCACCTTGGATTTACATTTCGACAGCACTATCGGCTTCAGCACCCTCGAAAACCAAGAAAATGACGACACCCATCATGATAAAATTGATACCTATTGCAGCCGCCACCTTGGATTTACATTTCGACAACCGTATCTGCTTCAACACCCTCGAAAACCATGAAAATGACACCCAAGATGAAAAAATTTATATCTATTGCAGCCGCCACCTTGGATTTACATTTTGACAGCACTTTCAGCTTCAACACCCGCGAAAACCATGAGAATGACACCCATGATGAAAAAAGTGATATCTATTGCAGCCGCCATCTTGGATTTACATTTCGAGAACCCTATCGGCTTCAACTCTCTCCAAAACCATGAAAATGACACCCATGATGAAAAAATTGATACCTATTGCAGCCGCCACCTTGGATTTACATTTCGACAACCCTGTCTGCTTCAACACCCTCGAAAACCATGAAAATTACACCTAAGATGAAAAAATTTATATCTATTGCAGCCGCCATCTTGGATTTACATTTCGACAGCACTATCGGCTTCAACATCCTCGAAAACCATGAAAATAACACCCATGATGAAAAAATTGGTACCTATTGCGGCCGTCATCTTGGATTTACCTTTCGACAACCCTATCGGCTTCAACACCCTCGAAAACCATGAAAATGGCACCCATGAAAAAAAAATTGGTAAATAATTCAGCCGCCATCTTGGATTTTCATTTGGACAGCACTATCGGCTTCAACACCCTCGAAAACCATGAAAATGACACCAATGATGAAAAAATTTATACCTATTGCGGCCGCCACCTTGGATTTACATTTCGACAGCACTATCGGCTTCAGCACCCTCGAAAATCATGAAAATGACGACACCCATGATGAAAAAATTGATACCTATTGCAGCCGCCACCTTGGATTTACATTTCGACAACCCTATCTGCTTCAACACCCTCGAAAACCATGAAAATGACACCCAAGATGAAAAAATTTATATCTATTGCAGCCGCCATCTTGGATTTACATTTCGACAGCACTATCGGCTTCAACATCCTCGAAAACCATGAAAATAACACCCATGATGAAAAAATTGGTACCGATTGCGGGCGTCATCTTGGAGTTACCTTTCGACAACCCTATCGGCTTCAACACCCTCGAAAACCATGAAAATGGCACCCATGAAAAAAAAAATTGGTAAATAATTCAGCCGCCATCTTGGATTTTTATTTGGACAGCACTATCGGCTTCAACACCCTCGAAAACCATGAAAATGACACCCATGATGAAAAAATTTATACCTATTGCAGCCGCCACCTTGGATTTACATTTCGACAACCCTATCTGCTTCAACACCCTCGAAAACCATGAAAATGTCACCCAAGATGAAAAAAATTATATCTATTGCAGCCGTCATCTTGGATTTACATTTCGACAGCACTATCGGCTTCAACATCCTCGAAAACCATGAAAATAACACCCATGATGGAAAAATTGGTACCTATTGCGGCCGTCATCTTGGATTTACCTTTCGACAACCCTATCGGCTTCAACACCCTCGAAAACCATGAAAATGGCACCCATGAAAAAAAAATTGGTAAATAATTCAGCCACCATCTTGGATTTTCATTTGGACAGCACTATCGGCTTCAACACCCTCGAAAACCATGAAAATGACACCCATGATGAAAAAATTTATACCTATTGCAGCCGCCACCTTGGATTTACATTTCGACAGCACTATCGGCTTCAGCACCCTCGAAAATCATGAAAATGACGACACCCATGATGAAAAAATTAATACCTATTGCAGCCGCCACCTTGGATTTACATTTCGACAACCCTATCTGCTTCAACACCCTCGAAAACCATGAAAGTGACACCCAAGATGAAAAAATTTATATCTATTGCAGCCGCCATCTAGAATTTACATTTCGACAGCACTATCGGCTTCAACATCCTCGAAAACCATGAAAATAACACCCATGATGAAAAAATTGGTACCTATTGCGGGCGTCATCTTGGAGTTACCTTTCGACAACCCTATCGGTTTCAACACCCTCGAATACCATGAAAATGTCACCCATGACAAAAAAATTGATACTACTTTTAGTACGTACTACTGTTATTTATTCTGTGCTTTTAAAATATTGTAATAAAAAAATCTCTTATTACGAGTATTATTATAATCAAGTATTTAAGATATTTGGTTATCCGAATATTGTGTATTTATACAGCGATCTTTTTGAGCCGCTGCAAACAGCCGTAACAATGTCCACTCACGACGGCGATTGACGCTAAACTAAAGCTGTAGCAAACCGTATGTATTCGGTACTGAGTAACGGGTGTGCCATCTAGTACCGAGTAACGAAACGTTACACATGAATGTCTTTCGTTACTCGCATTTTTCGTACTACACTGTTTCAGTTCATGCAAGTACCGTTGATACGTGATGCGTGTTTTTAAACATTTGCTGATCGTAGAACCCCCCCCCCCCCCAATCTTTTCTCTTTTCTACTATATATCCACTTATACTTGTATTTCTTTAGAATCTATATCTGTAAGATATATAAATATATCTAATTTACATGACCAGTATAACTTGATCTTTCTAAAGGTTTAAATATAGGCCGTTTAATAAATTTATGGCGTGATCGTCTTAGTTAGGACCCTTTTTTACGTTGTGTTTGTATAGTAACTTAGTTCTTTTAGGTGTATCTTGGAAGAATGAATATTCACGAGAGCAATCAAAAGCTGTTGGTAGAGTCTTATAAGCTAAAGAACCCCGTTCACGAAGACAGAGCTCAAAAAGGTTAAGAACAATAAATTGTCCCTATTCCACTTGTATCTGGTTCACAACAGTCAATTCCTTATTAATTAATCCCTTCCCGCTTGGAAAAGGCTCACAATATTTATATCAAATACCAGTTACAAGGGCTTCGCTCTCCCACATTTTTAAAAAAAATGTGGAGGAGGTACACGGCCCCACACACGCCGCGCACTGAGAGCGCCAACCATTTTAATGCGCTCCCCCCGAAGGATACGCAAAGTTGGGAACTGGACCGTAGTCCACAGCAAAATAACTGGCGAACCAGTAAAAGAGGACTTGGCCCCCTTGATAGACATCGACCGAAGTCAAATCCAACCACAGTGAAATGTACGTCACACGGGTTAGGCATCAATCGGCACACTGACCATAAAAAGCCCTCCGTGAGCGCCACCACCTGCCAGACCGCCGTTTCTGCAGACGTGATGTAAGTGTAAGGCATCACCACCAATTTCATGGCCAGCACGGCCAATTGGCCGCAGAGCGTGTCATGAGTCTACCG